CAGGTTTTTTTGTTTTGTTTTGTTTTAATATAGCTTTTTTTCTTTAATGCAGCTGTCAGAGTTTGGGAGGTTTCTTCTCTTCCTTTGTTAATACAGTTTCTCCAATGGGTGTTCTAGCTTAGCTTTCTTTCTGAGTGTTCTGCATCCTTTGAATTGTGTGGGCTTCCTCCTCTTCATTAGATTTTCAAATGTTAGACCACATCTGCATTCCCAAGATAACCCAGCTTAGCACAATGAGCTTTTCATATGCTAGTGGATTTGGTTTGCTAATATTTTTGTAGGATTTTAAAATCTATGTTTATAAGACTCTTCTGTGATTCTCCCCTTTTCTTATTGTCTTTGGTTTTGGTAGCAATTTTTTGCCTTATAAAATTAATTATATTGTATATAGTGTATCAAATTAATCGTAGAGTGTGTCTCCCTGTCTTCTTCTTTTTTCTTCCCCTTCTACTTTTCTTGCTTTTTTTTCTTTCTTCTTCTTCTTTTTTTTTTTTTCTTTTTTTTTGGTTATTCAAGATAGGGTTTTTCTATATAACAGCCCTGGCTGTCCTGACACTCACTTTGTAGACCTAGCTGGCCTTGAATTGAGAGTTCCACCTGTCTCGGCCTCATGAGTGCCAGGATTAAAGGTGTGCGCCACCACACCAGGCTTTCCTCCCCTTTTTCATGTGTAAACCTTCACCCTCTTTTCAGTTGTAGGAATTAAACCCAAGGCCTTGCCTATGCTAGGCAAGGGCTCCACAGCTTAGGCACATCCCCAGCCCTGGGTTCTTTTATTAAACAGTATCAGCAAAGCAGTCAAGCTATACCAGTGACATTAGCTTTGGCTAAGTTAACAGTCTGTTTTATTTAAACTTTTCCACTTCTTTGTTAGAGACAGATAGTTGGATTTCTTTCCCAATCCAGTTTGAGATCCTTCTGTTAGCATATGAATGAGATCAGAGGAATCTACAGACATGGTCCATCCATGTAGTAGGAAGAGAGGTGAGTCCTGCTCTCCTGGAAGGTACCAGCTCCTGGAAGCCAACAACCCTCCCTTTTACTCTTTGCCTTTTGTTTTGTTTTTAAGACTGCTTGGTTTGTGTCCTCTGTCCCTTCTTTTCTTTCTTGGTATGGCAGTTCATAGTTTGTTTCTCCTTTAAAGGTTCTTGGCCTTTCCTGACAGATAAATATTTGGTCCTTAGATACTTGCTAACTTATGTAACTTGTCATCTTGTTTAAATGTGCTTCCCTGTGTAATTGTCCTTTCCTTTCTTGAGGTCAAGACCTTTCTCCTTCTTCTCAGAAAGGTGATTCATGGTGACCAGGAGTAGTTTTTTCAGCAATATATGCATGAAATGTACTACAGGGCTATAGGAAGGCCTCGTTTGATAAAGTGCTTCCGAGCCCTAGAATTCAGTTCTAGCAATGACAGGATGCATGGAGAAAGAAAGCTTGCTAGGGCCTGCTGGCCAGTCAGCCTCGCCAACTCAGTGAAGTTCCAGGCCAATGACAGATCCTGTCTGTCTTGGTTAGGGTTTCTATTGCTGTGATAAGACAAAAAGCATAATCAAAAGCAACTTGAGGAAAGAGTTTAGTCCAGCTTGCAACACTCAGGTCACACTCCATCACAGAAGGACGTCAGGGCAGGAACCTGGAGGTAGGAACTGAAGCAGAGTCCATGGAGAGGTGCTGCTTACTGGCTTGCTCTTACAGATTGCTCAGCCTGCTTCCTTACAGCATCCTCGACCATCAGTCAGGGGTGGTACTGCACATGGTGAGCTGGGCTCATCCACAGCCAATAATCAGGCAGGAAAATGTACCACAGACTTGTCCACAGGCCAGTCTTGGGGAACATTTTCTCATTTGAGGTTCCCTCCTCCAAAGTAACTCTAGCCTGTAGCAAGTTGACAGAAAGCCTGAGAAAGTGATGCCTGAATTTGCTGACCTCTGCATACATGCACATAATTGTGCATATGTGTACATGCACATTGGCCCAGACCACAGCACAGCCATTCTTGTTCAGTTTTGTGTTTGACACAGTGTTCGATGATTAATGCTGGTTTGACTTGGGTTTTAGATTCTTCACATTTAGCTTTGTTGTAACACATTAACGAGGGCACTGGTTCTAGCTGTAACCCCGGCCCTAAGACCTTCTGGGACCTGAAGAGTGGGTCTGTACCCTCTTCTTGCTCCTCAGCCATGTGCTGTCAGGCTCTGCCTCCAGCGGTGTCCTAATGAACCAGCAGAACAGGGTGTCACGATAGTAACATCCACAGGGACCGTTCCTGGCCCTCCGTTCCCTGAGTCCAGCTCAGCTTTCCCAGCTCATTGCTCCCACTTCTTTCCCTCAGAGATTCCAAGTGTCCCTGAGGCTGAGTCCCAGCTCTATGGTCCTTCCTTGGAGCTGCTCAGTGTGAAAAGGCCTCCTCTTCCTCTATGACATTCTAGGACCTCCTTGCCTGCCCTGTCCTCCAGCACCAAGTCAGCTGCTCGGCACAGAGTTCTCTCCACTAAAAGGCCTCATGGGGATCCTGATTGATATGCCAGGAGAAGTAAACCTGTCCGTTCCAAATCTTGTCAGGGTCCTGTGTCGAGTCTGGAAGAATCTTCCAATGATTTGGTCTCTATTTAGGGCCAACTTCTTGCTCAGTATCTGTTTGGTAAGACTGAGTGAACACTTGATTTGTCCCTGGTACTGTGGGAGGGCAGTGATAGGCGACTGGGACAGGCTAAGCCCCTGCTCTGGGGGCCTTACATTATCTCAAACTGCAGAACATGTGCTGTTGAAGAACTCCATCAGCAACCTGGGAAAGTGGCCTGAGATGGAGAAAATGTCCAAACAGATCTAACAGCTTAGGTCCAGCACACATGGACTTTCTAGAACAGTGTCAGAAAAGCAAAAACAAAACAAAACAAAACAAAACAAAAAAAAAAACAAAAACAAAAAACTGATTTAAAAAACAGGCAAAGGACTCAAAAATGACACATTTTGACTCAAGATGACACATTTTCAAAGAAGATATTCATATGCCAAAAGCACATGAGAAAATGTTTAACGCCTTAATGCTGGTCCTCAAAATGGCAGTGCAGCATACCTCAGCCCATTGGGATGATCACTGTCAAAACTGGAAAGTACCAGGGCCTGGCTAGGACTGCTAAAATTAGAGCTGTGTGCACTGCGGGTGGGAATCTACAGTGGAACAGTGAGGAGGTCCTTAAAATTCTTTTAGATAGAATCACCATATGATTGAGCAACTCTACTTCTTGGATAGCCAAGAGAATTGAAAGCAGAGACTAGGCTGGGCTATGGTGGCACATGCCTTTGATCCCAGCTCTTGGGAGGCAGAGGCAGCCTGGCCTACAGAGCAAGTTCCAGGACACCAGGGATTACATAAAGAAACCCTGTCTCAAAAAAAAAAAACCAAAAAACAAACAAACAAAAAAAAAACAATCAATCAATCAATAAAAAAACAAATAAATAAATGAAAAAAAGAAAAGAAAACAGAGACTAGAACAGGTGTAATACACTAGAGTTGATAGCTGTATTATTCCAGCAGCTAAGACATGGAGGCCGCCTAAGTGTCCACAGATGGAAAAATGGAAAAAGAAAACGTAGCTTCTTGATACAGTGGACTGCAGCCCTGAAAAGGGAGGACATCCTGACATGTGCTGCAAGGGTTGAGGGCATGTCGGAGGCTTGAGGGCATTATGGCCAATGAGACAAGCTAGCCACAAGAAGAGAAGGGTGTAGTAATTCTGCTTATATGAGGTCCCCCGGGCGGCCCTTATCAGACAGGAAAGACAGACATGGAGACAGTCTCCATGTGGGATGGTGAAAAAGTGCTGGATATGGATGGGGTGCCGGCTGCCAACACTGGTGTTCTTAGCGCTACTGAGTGATGATGGCGGGAAATTTCGTGTTGCTGAAGGATGATGTCTGAGGACTGTCTTCCAGTGTGCTCTCTCTGTGGGAAGTCTGAGTGATGCTGGGCCAGCATCGTGAACTAGTGAGTGTATTGAGGTGATGTATAGAGTGAGAGGTTGATACAGGACTGTCAGCGTCTTTAGGCAGCTGCCTCACTGAAAAGCCCAGTATGAGTGAGGATTCATGAGAGCTGCATCACCTAAAGGCTCGTTGCTTCAGCAGCTGTGGATGACGGGAGGCTTTGTGAATGCTTCCAACTTTCTAAGCTGTCCAAGCCTGCCTACCTGCCTGCTTGCTTGTACTCTCTCACTCTTCCCTTGCCTTTCTAAAATGTGTATGTGTATCCCATGTATGTGGGTGTCAGTGGAGGGCAGAAGAGGGTTTCATATCTCCTGGAACCAGAGTTATAGATGGTTGTGATTATAGATGCTTATGTGTGAGCTGGGATTCAGACTTGGGTCTTCTGGAAGAGCAGCAATTGCTCTTAACTGTGGGGCTTTCTCTCCAGACCACAGGCCTGGTTCTGTTAGCTTCTCAAGTTGTATAAGTTTGTTAGCTTTCTAATCTTCTGAGCCTTCCAGGAGGGGATGTTTGAATTGGGAGGAAATAGCCACACAATGTTGTCATTTCCTGGAGGAAGAAACACAAGCCTCTTGCTGGAATGATCTTCAGATACTGGCTAGGGCATCCTTAGCCTCTTAAAGCCATTATACGATGACATGGAAGCACAGGTGTGCTGAAGACAGCCTTTATGAGGACTTACTCCCCACACACTTTTGCTTTTCAGCCGTCTGTATCAATCCGTCCCTGGAACAGGCTGTCTGTATGCGGTTTGGGAAAGCAGGGCGGGCCTTGTCATCTAGGATATACAGTTGGTAGCTAGCAGCAGATAGCTAAAGATCCTGGAGGGACTCTTTTGCAATTTTGCATATTTTGTGGCAAATATTTTAATTAAAGTATACCAAACGATGACTGCAAGTGAACCTCCCACAGTGCTGCTGAGCTGGGCTCCTCCTTCAGGGGGCCACAAAGGGCAGAACTGATAGTTGCTCGCTGGGAGGGTAACTTAACACATCTTTCTCTTTCTGTTTAGAGTTCAAAACTGGGACGGGGAGTTGCCCTGGCCCAGACTTCTCAGCGCACCTCGGCTCGCAGATCCTTCGGAAGGTCTAGGAGGTTCAGCATCACACGCTCCCTCGATGATCTTGAGGTAGGTGGATTGGCCTTGCTGACCGCTGGGCTTCAGCCACTCTTCCCTCTCTGTTCCCATCCAAGGATTTGGACCTGTCCTATTGGGAGCCTACTGGATTGTCCCCCTCAGCAGGAGCTCCCAGAGCACATAGCTGGACTTTTCCTATCCCCCAAAGTGCCTGAGTCACCTGGACCCCCACACTGGGGAGCCCTGATCAGATAGGAGTATGTTTAATAGTCCTTTGGGACAGCTGAGATAGGACTGACCTCTGTCCTTCCTAAGGACCTGATCAGCCCAGAGCAAAGGCCATTTTAAGAATAGATTTCATTCCTTGGGAAGTTTTAGGCTTACAGAAAACTAGAGTAGAAAGAAAGTACAGACCCTGATGATGGCGCGCTGACTGTCACCATGTGAGGGTCAAGTACTTGTCACAGCCAGTGGGTGCTGTGGGTGCACTGCAGCAGCACCAGCGGGAGGGTTCTCTTCATGTGTATGCACATGTGTGGGCCATACTAGCCCACACAGCACGTTCAGAACATTGACAGCACCCCAGGGTCCCCTGCGCTCTCCCTGTCCCCTCCCTGAACCCTTGGCACCCACAGATTGTGTTGCTGACTTTATTCGCTTCTGAATTCTGACAGACACAGCTGTCCTCCATGCCTTTTTCTGATACTCTAAAATGCAGCCCATTTGCTCTGAAGGCTTGTGTTGTTGTTTTCCGTGGCTGGGAGTTGTTAACCGATGGCAGTTAGACTCCTGTGTCTGGATGGACGCTCTGGGGAAGACGACGTGTCTACTCTGAAGAAGCTGTGTACTGTTCCCATACATACCTCCCCCTGCACACCTGGGTGATGGTGCTAGAACGTTTCTGTAAGTGGAAGAGCTGAGGGAATGGCAGGTGTTCATGTAAGTCCCTAGTGGCTGCTCCCACGTTTGTCAGGGTGACAGCGAAGACCAGCTGTAGAGCTGTTCCCTGGTGGAGAAGAGAAAAGGCGTTGGGTGAGGGGCTGTAGGCAAGGTCTAACTGGGCTTCACAAGAAGGTGGATTCTGGTTAGCCTACTTCCAGGTGGAGTTTCCTGCCTGGGGTGTTTGAGTCTGTGCTTGTGTGAGAAGCAGGCCTCAGCGGGTCTGAGCCCTGAACATGTATATAACCTCATGGTGAAGGTTTGCGAAACCACTGTAGAGGTTTAGGCTACTGTTTTGCTTCCCTTCATCTCCAGGAATGTATTGTGTCTTCCTGCTGGCCAGCAATTGGAGTCTTGCTGTTGTCCACAGTTAGAGGTAAGCCAGGGCTGGTGTCCAAGCCTCTCCCTTCTGTCTTCAGAACAGCCAATAAGGGGGGTTGTCTGCGTGGCTACAGGCCTTGAACTCACAGTCCTCCTGCTGCTCCCAAGGGCTGGGATTGCAGGCCTGGGCCAGCATATCTTACTGATATGGCCACTTTAAAGATAGGAAGCCCAGTTGCAGACCGACCATGAAATACTTCCTGGGCTCATGGCAGTGACGCCATGTTTTTATCATGTGGGCAGTCTCTTATTTAATCGTTTTGAATTTACCCTCGTGTGCAAATAACCCTGGCCACTTGGGGAGCTGTGGAGCCTGTCTATCTGTACTTTGCTTAGCTGCTGTGACAGGTGTGCTAGAGCTTCCTTCTAGTCCCTGTGTCTATGGGCCCCGGAGACCCTTGGGTACAGCTGGCCCTGCTGACCAGGACTGCTATAGAGAGCAGCAGAGTGCTTGGATGTCACCCTTACGGCTAGATAGAACACATGTAGCCACATGACAAGCAGCTGTCTGCAGTCAGCAAGCAGCTGGGACTGAAACTGTCACATGGGATGGTGTGTGGTGCTGTCCCTGCTGCCATGTGCCACTCCATTCCTGCACTGTCAAGCTACTGCTGGAGGTCAGCCTTGTCCTTCTAGGGACTTGGCTGGTGGTCTAGGGATGTTCTGTGGTGGATTCAGTCGTGTGAGACAAGGCATTCATGCTTTTATTCACTCCTGCCTTTCTGAGGCCTTCCTCTCTTGCCCTTCCATCCTCCTTCTAGGTGAGGCCTTCCAGCCTCATTACCTGTCCTGCTCATAAGCCTTTGCATGGCCTTACCTGGGCTTATTCTTCTCACATACAAATGTGGCCAGGCTAACTTGTTGCAATCTGCTCTTTCTGTCACCTGTTTTTAATCCACTCCATCTTGAACTGAGCCATTTGCTTCTCCATCTCATCCACTGTCCTCCCCAGGCACTGGTCACAAGCACTTCCCCGTGAGCCCCTAGGTGTAGGGGCCCTGGCTGTGAGTGCATGGGGTCTGCAGCCTGCTCCACCCTGTGTGGATGTACTCGTGCTGTCTCTCCTGGATTGTTGCTGCGTTTTGCCCAGGAAAGGATGCAGTATCTCACTCATGATGGATAGTTTGATGCCTGGAAAGTGACCATCCTCCCATGTAGAAACTTTGTGTCCATCTGGTCCAGCAGCACTGGCGGCTGCCTTTCAGCAGCAGGAAGCTGCAGCGGGAACACAATAGCGTGGGAAGGTCTGAGCCATGTTCCCAAAGGAGAGGTGGTCAGCATGTAGAGCCTGGACAGGCCTCCAGACTTGAGCTTCTCTGTAACTGGTGAGAGTCCTGTGCTAATGGCTTGCCTTGTCTTAGGAAGGGACATCCAACTTCTAAGCATTCTGCTGATGGGCAGCCCTGAGTGCAGCTCTGTCTCCTGCCCTCCCAGAGTCCAGTGCTGGACCAAGGCCCCTATACCTGCTGCTTGATAGTATCGTGAGCCCTGCAGTGTTGTGATGATCCAGGGGCTCAGGTTCTCTCTGACTGTCCTGGAACAGGATGGGAGCATTGATGATGCTGGACTGGAACAGTTGTACATGTTCCCAGCATGCTGTCTCCCAACACCCTGGCAAAAGCAGCTTAGGGGAGAAAGGGTTATTTTTAAATTTTAAGTAATTGATTTAATTTTTAAATTAGTTAGTTAAAATGAATTAATTTTGGCTCACAGATGAAGGTTATGGGTCCTCACAGCAGAGACATCATGATGGCAGGAGATCAAAGCAGCTGGTCACATTGAATCTGCTGTCAAGAAGCAGGGAGTGACAAATGTGTGCACACTAGTGCCCAGCTGGCGTTCTCAGTTTATACAGTCCAGGATCATCTTCAGGGAATGGTCTTACCATGATTGAGATGGGGTTACCCAGCTGGGCAGTGGTGGCATAGATCTTTGATCCCAACATTCAGGAGGAAGAGGTAGGAGATCTCTGAGTTTGAGGCCACCTTGCTCTACATAGTGAGTTCCAGGAGACAGGACAGCCAGGACTACACAGAGAAGCACTGTCTTGAAAAACCACCCCCTCAAAAAAAAAAAAAAAAGATGAGGTTCTCTGCATCAATTTCAATGAACACAATCAAGATAATCCTGTACAGGGATGCCCAGAGGCTCATCTCCCAGTTGACTCTAGATTCTGCCAAGTTGACCACTAGGGAAAAACTGAGGAATTATTATTGATGACACTTGCTTTGGTGTCATAAGGACCTCTTAATTGTCTCCTGATCTTTCCCTTAATTAGTGATTTCCAGTTTGAGAAGTGGCTTAAGGGGCTGCAGAGATGGCTCAGGGGTTAAGAACACTGACTGCTCTTCCAGAGGACCTGAGTTCAATTCCCAGCACCCACATGGCAGCTCACAACTGTCTGTAACTCCAAGACCTGACACCCTCACACAGACACACATGCTGGCTAAATACCAATGCACATAAAATAAAAATAAATTATTTTTAAAAAGGGCTGGAGAGAAATGGCTTAAGTTTTCAGGTTGAACAGAATGATGACTTTAGTTGGCCTCCTGGTCATTTACCTTGATTTCTTTTGGACTGATTTATATTGGTAGCTTCAGGCCAGCGGGCACCCAGAACGTGCTTTGCCCTCTGTGAGACAAGAATTCTGTCTCCTACCAGAGTCTCTGGAGGGATTCTGCCTTCCTGCCCTTGAGCTGCAGGCATGGGATGGTGGTGGACTTGAACTACCTCTTCTACCTTTTGCTTTAATTGTGCTCAGTCCCTCTAGAAATGTTAGTCTCTTTCTCCCATTGGTATGGCTTGGTGCTTAGTGCTTTCTTTGCGGAGCACACGCTGCACCATAAAGCAAGTCTCAGGAGAGTGACAAATGGCGCACAGCCTGTTTGTGCCTCACTGCAGGCCAACTGGAAACAGCAGCACCTACCAGCACAGTGAACTCAAAGAAGAAAACCCCATGGATATTAGGAAGGGTTTTGAACCGAACACTAATGAAAATATCACCTGCCTAAACGTGCAGGGTGTGGTTAAGACTGTTGTTAAGTTTGGATCTGAAATGCCCCCTACAGGCTCAGGTTTTGAACACATGGTCCTTAGCTGCTAGCAGCACTTTGGAAATTTTAGAGGCCCCATCAGGCAGAAGTTGGGGCCTGCATATGGCCCTTTGAAGGTTATACCTGGCCCTTTGTTCCACCCTTGCTGTCTCGTTCCTGGTTTCTACCATGTGAACAGCCTCTGACACACACTGCTGCCACCATGAGCCTCAGCCACACCATCCCCACCATGATGGGCTTCGGATTCTACACAACTGCACCAAGGAATCTTCCTCCTTAGTAGTTTTTGTCACAGCGACACAAAACCAACGAGTGATAACTTTCTTACGGTTTCTTTTTCTTTTTTGTGTGTGTGTATGTATGTATGTGTGGGGGGGTAGACGTACATGTTCATGTGAGTGTATGCACATGTGCATGCAGGTGGCGGTCAGAGGTTGGCATCAGGTGTCTTTGTTGGTCAGCCTCTACTTTATATCTGAGGCACGTTTTCTCATTGAGCCTGTAGATCATTGAGCCCAGCAGGCTGGCCAGTGAGCCCCAGGGATCTGCTTGTCTCTGTCCCCCAAGCACTGGGGTTGAAGATGTGTCGCACCATGCCCCAGCCTTTACATGGGTGCTGCTAGTCTGAACTCAGGTCCTCATGCTTGTGTGACAGGCCTTAGAGATCGGGCCATC